CCAAATTTTGTTGGAAAAAATTTTTGCAACACCGTTTTTTTTTTTTTTTTCGTTTAACATTTTGGGAAAGGTTGACGAGTTTAAAGAGGAGGGGATAAAATATAACAATTTGAAGAAAACAATGAAAAATTATTTTGAACTGTTTCAGAGCGTTTACAAAATTTTTTTTTCAAAAATTTTTTAATACTAATAACTTTTTAAAAAGTGTTTTTTATATTTGCTAAAAAAAAAAAAAGAAAAGGACCATATTCTTTAGTTTTTTTTTTGGTTTTGAACACAGTATTTCCGATAGTTTACAAATCTGTTCAGTGGATACGGGAAAAATTAGGAAGACAAATGTTACCGTTACAGTTTTGAACAATTTTCATCGTCTATTTGGACTATGGTATACTTCTTTTTTTTTTTCCAACTTCAACAACCTTTGTTTGTCGTTTAAGCGGCCAAACTGTTACCAAAGTTATCTAATACAATTTTTTTGCACAACTTTAAACAGCAAAAATATTTTTTGTAAAAAAAAGACTGAAATGGAAAGAGCAAAAAAAAAAAAGCATCAGTTATTTTTTGAATAAAGAAAAAAAAAATTATAAAGCACTACAGAAATTCAAATAAAACTATAAAATTTTTTTAAAAACCATAAATTCTTGACAATAGTAATTGTTGCAAAAACGTTACTGAAATTGAGCATTTTTAAACATTAAATTTTGCAACAGCTTACAGTGCGCGAATGGTTAGAAGTTGTCGGAGGAAACAGAACAACTATGTAAATGTAAGTTGCAGAATCAGTCGGTGATTTCATGTTGCATCTTCATTTTTTCTTTGTTTGTTTCCCAACAATTCTGCAACAGTATTACAGAGGACAAAACTATTATAATCAGCAACATTTTCAACCAATTTGTTCACCAATTATTTGTTGCTTGGTTTATGCAAATAAAAAAGTATGAGGTTTTCCTTTTTTTTTCTTTTTGTTTTTGTTTTGGCCAAATTTTTTTATTGTTCTTCTAATTATCTGCAGACATCTTAAATAAAGCTGCCTAATTATAGTCTTATGCATAACCGAAGAAAGAGAAAAAAAAAGGGTTGCTTTTTCTATCAACCGCAGAATCCCAAATAATTCGTTATTTATCAAACAAAAAACTTATATCTTTCAATACTTTCTGTTTACACTTCTGCTGATTATAAGAAAATAGAAAAAAATTTGAAAGCTACCCGAAAATATTCAACGACAATTATTGTCGTTTTTGTTCAAAACTTAGTCTAGTTTTTAGTTTTACGGGTAATGCTTACTGTTACAAATTGGCTTCCTCTGTTTCTGCTCTTAATTTTTGTTCTTCTTCTTTTTTTTTTTTTGCTTCTCTTTAAAGTTTTAGTTTACTTTTTTTTTTGCCAACAACAAGTCACGTTCAAATATTAAAAGATTTTTGGAAAGATTTTTGAAATTAAAAGATTTCTTCATTTAGTTTATCTATACAGCACAATAAGTTTGATTTCAACAAAATCATTAAACGAAAGCATAAGAAGCTGATTAAAACTAAATTAAAAAATGCACTAGATTTTTGTAAAATTGCAAGACTAGTTAGTAGTGCAAAGAAAAACTTTACAAAACTGTTTCAATTTTTAGCACTATTTTCTTTTTACACTTTACTAATGTTTACAGTTGCTATTTATCCAAGAAAAAGGAGAGTCTAAAATTGAAGAAGATAATAACTAAACAGTCAGTTGATGATGTTCAAATTACTTCTGAAACATTTACACTGAAATTTTACCTATTATATATATATA